CCTTTAGAATAATGGTCTACCTAGGATGGTCTACCTTATTGTTGCTTCTAAGTAAGACAGCAGTCTCAAAGGGGGTAAATATTTCATCAGTTGGAAATGATTCAGTACTAGAAAAACAGCTATATGCTGCTGTGATCAGCTGTCAGAACTTTCTTTGCTCCTTAGACTTGAGCCCAAGATCTCATGGCTTCTTAACGTATTATCATTTGCCAGTTTCATGAGCAGAGTAATGGCTACACTACACAGTCCCAGTCACGATGGATTTTCACGTATCGCAAATACCTCATAATTGAAGGTGAGGATGATGATAAGTATGTTAGGGACTATCTGGGCATCAATTTTTTTCTCTTATAGAGCACCTGGAAAGTGTGAGGACAGATAAATTATCATTCAGATAACCTGGATTATTAGTGAATATACATATACTATACAATGTAAAACGGGGGATAATCTCACAAAGATTGTTTAATGTATTTATATAATTACATAATGCAACAAAATTTCTATTTAATAACCAGCGGAGGAGAAAGATTGAACTGCAAATTACCACATATATGTCAATGATATCGTTACAAAAGTGATGCAGATCACCATGTAAGGCAAACAATTAATAGACTTTAACTGCCTCATCCAAAATCAGATTCAGGGAAATATCCATTATTCCAAGGAGACACAAATTTCAACCCTTACATTTGAAGTCTGCTAAACTAGTGTCCATTCTATGGCAGTTTCACTGCGTTAATACAGGCTAGGCTAGTACATGATGATCATGTGTTACCTCAAAGGCACTTTGCTTCTCAGAGGTGACACGATTCATATTACTTGAGGAGCAATCATGACATTCTATCTTTGAGGCCTCTGGCGTATCCAGGAGCCTGAAGGCTTTTGTGCATCTTTTGTAAAACAGTTTTGATGGCATCTTTGTCTGCAGCAAACTGAACCTATGTGAAAATGACGATACTGTAAATGTGCTGCAAGATCAGGAGGTAAATGCCACTTCGATGAACAAGGTCCCGACAATTGATGCAATTTGTAGGTGTATTTTGTGATGTCCATTTTCTCACTACCCTCCTCCCAGTTCTCCTATTGACCCCCTTTTGAATGACCGCTGCAACTGCTCCATCACATTAATTGTTTCATCACTTTCAAAATTTTGCACAGCCCGGACATAAAATCAGTTTTGGCAGCAAATGTTCCTTGCATGTGGATACGCCAAAACACTTCCAATTGATTTTTTTTCAAAATGTATAGTTAAACTGAACTCTTTTTAATTTTATTATTGATATCCTGCCTTTCATGATGAAGGCCATTACAAACATTTTGCAAGCAACAGGTGGAAATAAAAATAGTGTACAATAGTATTTAAAAGCCAAACATCTAGAATCCTTCCCACAGGGCAATTGTTTAGTAAAGCTTGTATCAGGTTGCGGAGGAAGGAAAGAGTCAAACTGAGCAAGTGTCTGTGTTGCTTTTTATCTGCCTCCGTTTCTCTCCTTCAATGTTTCTCTTGTCTTGAAACTTAACACAGTCTTATAAAAAAGAAAAAGGAAACTTTGTGGTCTTGTTCCTCGGAAAAGCTAAAGGAGCAGTTCAATTGAATAGGCTTCTGGGATGGCTGACATCAATCTCACCCTTTTCTCGGTGTCTTCTCCAAATTATTGGATTCCACCTCTTAGCTTTAAGATCACCAATACATCTTACAAACAAATACAGTAATTAATTATAATCAAATAGCTAGTGCTATACTATCACACATGCCACAAAAAACCTCCAACTTGTTTATTTCAGTGAAAGCAGTCTGTCTGAATGTCTATAGAGATTCTCATCCATCCAGATTCTGGTTGTCCCAAAGGTGCTTTTTTAAAAAGGCAACTGGGCTTTCTTCGTTTTTCCATGAAGACGTTTCACTTCTCCTCCAAGAATTCCAGTTGCCTCTTGAAAAAGCACCTTTGGGACAGTCTTTCTGAACAACAAGCACAAAATTATATAGAGAGAAAGCTAATATGTGCATATACCAATATAAAGTTTTGATAAATAATGTCCTTATTTCACAATAATAGGCCATATATAATACTGTATACATCTATAAGGAACTTGTTTATGAATTGCAAATAATATCCGCTTTACCAATTACACGTTGGGTTGAAGATATGATGAAAACAACCTTTTCAAATTGTTTAATTTGGGGGTGAGGGGGTGACTTGTTTTCCTTTTCAATCATAAAGTCATCTTAAAACATTTTTTTGGCATTGCATTCCTCTCCTTTAGAAGCAAGGGCAGAACTGTGTAACTGCCAGCTATGTCTTTTGTCTGTATGGGAGAATTTTTTCCCCTGGATTTTTTAAAAATACCAATATGTATGTTTCTGTGTTATTTGTTTGTTTCTTGCAGTGAGATGGTACAAATTGTTTCAAAGTCCTTTTGTTACTGAAACATTTTTAAGGATGGACATCTTGCCACTCATGCTTAGATGTGAAAACCTTACACTGGATACATCTAAGGTGAATGCACCCCATTTTTTCAAACTAAAGGAGCTAAATTTAGTACCTGGCAGAGATAGCACAATGCAGGAAATGAAACAGAGCAAGTATAAAGTAGTATAATCAATCAGAATAGAGCTGGAAGGGACTTTGGATGTGTTCTAGTCCAACCCCCTGCTCAGTTAGGAGACCCTATACCATTTTAGGCAAGTGACTGTCCAGTCTCTTCTTAAAAACAGTGATGAAAAAAGTCAAAAAGAGGGCTGTGAAAATATTTACAGATTCCTCGCATCCTGGACACAAACTGTTTCAACTCCTACCCTCAAAAGGACGCTATAGAGCACTGCACACCAGAACAACTAGACACAAGAACAGGTTTTTTCCCGAACACCATCATTCTGCTAAACAAATAATTCCCTCAACACTGTCAAACTAGTTACTAAGTCTGCATTACTATTAATCTTCTCATTGTTCCTATCACCCATCTCCTCCCAATTATGTACTGCATGACTGTAACCTTGTTGCTGGTATCCTTAAGATTTATATTGTCTGTTTCCCTATGACTATCATTAAGTGTTGTACCTTATGATTCTTGACGAATGTATCTTTTATGTACTCCAAGAGTGTATGCATCAAGACAAATTCCTTGTGTGTCCAATCACACTTGGCCAATAAAGAATTATATTCTATGAAACACCCACAACTTGTGAAGGCAAGCTTATACTCCTAAATATATTGTAAATCTGCATAGCTTTTCTTTAAAGTATGTTTATTTATTTAGTCATTCATTCATTTCCATATAAGAAGTGCTGCTGAAAGATCTCTGAATCTTTCTTAACTCCAGTCTTTTGTTTCTACTTTGGCCAATTATGGAACGAGTTTGCCCCAATCTTGATGCTCTCCAGATATATTAAATTACAGGTCCTAACATATCTGATCAACGTGCCCAATAATCCTAGGGGAAATGATTTGAATTCAACAAAACATCCTGTTGCAGAGGGGAAAATTGTATAAGACAGTTTACAGGAAGCAACTGCAGAATATGATTTTGAGTAGGTTATAAACATCAAGTATTCTCTTATTCATAAAAAAAAAAAACCTCAGGAAATCTTGAACTGATCAGAAAGTTTTCCAACAAAGTTAATAGGAACGCAAAGCAAAATCAGAGGAACATAGGGAAGGTGAATGAAGATTTGGGGATATCAACATTTGTGAAAGAAAATACAAAAGCTTAGCAACATTCCTCTCAATAAAGGATAAGGGAAAATTCAGTCAGTAATTAATAAACTAGAATATTGATAAGATTTGCATAGATTTAAAGCCAGGTCAAAAATCTAAAAGGGTAGGACTGTCTCAGGAATATACTGGTGCTTATTCTGAGAATTCATTGGAAAAGTAAACATGTTAGGAGGAAAAAAGAAAATGAGAAGTATAATGGCTATATTTTGGGAGAAAGGGGCATTACAGGACTTTTTAGGCCGATCCCTTTAACTTCACGTTAATGAAGTTAATGAAATGAAATGCTGATTTGAACTTCATGCATTTAGGAGTAGTCTGTTATTAATCATTACTAACAGTAAAAAAATAGACTTGCTTATATGCTGAAGTGTTATGTTTTTCAGGTTGCATGAAAAGTGTGAACTTTCCACCAGCTTGGAGAATCTGGTCAGTTAGGAAAGCAGTCTTGATGCTTAGAAAAACAGGCTGAAAGCATTAAAATGAAATGAAACCATATATGTAAGTGCATATATGTAATGGAGCATAAGTGATGATTTCACAATGTTGTTAGAACCAATGTGCTTTTTCAAAAACAACAGCAGTAATATGGAATGACTTGAGAACATTTGATAACAACTTGCAAAGTCATATCCTGGAAAGCAGAAAAGGAAGATGCTTTTATAGTGGTTTTCATATTGTAAATTTAGCTTCAAGTTAGAAAACTAGACTGAATATAACCCAGTAATTCTTAATGTATTTCTCCCCTTCTGTTGCTGAAATTCTTCTTATCTTTCAAATTCTTCTTATCTTCCATTATTCTTCCATCTTCCATGTTAAGTTATTTTACTTTCTACTAAAAATGTACTTGATTTCTTTTAAGTACAGTTGGAGATTTTTACTTTGTGGGGCTTTTGAGGGAGGGGGCTCTAAAAAGAAGAGTCCCACTCTCATTAAAAAAAAAGCAGAAAAACAATTTTGGGAATATACAATATGTAGCATTTCGTTTATGCTTTTTACACACCATGTTCTTCATGGAGATCATGAGTATCCTAAATTTAATGGAACTCGTATCTCCTAGATAAGTCTACGAATGAGGTTGGTTTTGTTAAGACAACCCATATGACATTATTTCAGATGATTATGTTTCCACAGGGCCATCTTTCTACCTGTGCAGCCACTTTCTGACACAAAGTTCTGTTGCCCTGGAGCTGGGTCTCCATGGTTACGTTTGCTTTTCAGACACTCAATGGAAAATTCTGGTGTGGAGAGACTCATGCTGAAATACTGATTCCATCTAAGTGTCTGCAACACAGAGTGAATTTTAATGCTATTTTACTTGCCTATTGGCTAAAAATATACGTCAGTTCTCTTACTAAACTTTAATAAGGATCTTAAAATAATTCCTCTTGTCACATTTCGATGAATTGACTACAATTAAGCCCAACTGAGTATTTTAAGAAATATCCAGGTGAAACAATCATTCATCCGATTAGTAACGTGCAATGATTCCTAAAGACATGGGGTGGGGGGGAGAGAGAGAGAACCAGAAACAGGAAGCGCTTTGTAGTAATTCAGAAAGAGAGAAAATTAGTGAGTCACAGCACAATAATATTGCAATACATAGAAACAACTGGGGTCTACCAACAAATAATGATCACAAGTTGTGGTTCTGGCTGCCAGCCTGGACCGGTTTCAAAAAAGGAATTGGACTAATTTGTGGAAGTCATGGGGATCAATAGCTATTAGCCTTGATTGCTCTGGGATTGCTCTGTAAGGCCGTCTCCTGAGAGACTAGTTGTGCTTCCTTGTGCAGTTGGTTGCTCACTGTAGGAACAGATTGGTGGACTAGATGGGACAGAGATCTGGTCCAGAAGGGCATCGCTTATGTTTTTAACAAATCAGAAAATGCTTTTATTCACCCTATATTCTGCTCCACTTTAATCTATCCTCGTTAACCTAGGTTTCATTCCCATCCACCATCCCATTACTGTATTCTGTGGCCATTCAGTATTTTCACTTTTCCTTGGAACCAGGGGGGGGGGGGCGGGGGGGGGGAGAGGAGGTATAAAAAAGATTTTGTGCTTCTTTGAACTCTGAGGTTCCCTCCAGTATGCTGATGCCTCTTACTTGCAAAAATTGTCTTATTTTAGTTGCATAAAGTATCAGCAAACATACTCAAACTTTGGAAATCGAAGGAATTAATCTGGGAGGGAGGGGGAGAGAGGGGGGGAGGAAGGGAGAGGGGGGAGGGAAGGAGAGAGAGAGAGAGAGAGAGAGAGGGAGAGAGAGAGAGAGAGAGAGAGAGATGAAAGTTGGGAATTATTTCCAAACATTTCTGTAGGTACCTTATTTTTTTCCCCAAGCTCATTTGTTTTCTTAACTTGTAGAACAAAAGTGTTAATGGCATAACTGACAACTGAACAAAATAAGTTTATGTGTTGTTTATCTTGTTTTATTTCTATGACTTTCATTGTCATAACAGATTCTATTGGAAGCAATGTGGCTTAGGCCCAGCTAACTGTAACTGGAGGGCAGCCAATCATCATTTTGACCAATCTCACATAGTTGTGTGTAGCAATCATTCCAATTATTAGCTGGTTTCTATCTTCGCGTGGTTTCCATCTGGTTTCCATCTTCATGTGTCAAAGTTCTGGTTTCTACCTTCATGTACCCAGGAGCACACAGACGATGTAGAAAATGATATATGGATATCTTAAAGAAGGTGTAAGCAGTGATTGTTGGAAAAGTAAGGCGGTTAAACCTGATGGCTTGCAGAGATTTATCTGATTTTACATTCATAATATTACATTTCTATTGAGCAGGTATAAATTCAAATGTTCATCATGACTTTTTCAAAAATAATTATTAGAATTTTTGGTTGGGAGTTGGGAGATATGGTAGGCTGATACTTTCCAAAGGAATAGAAAGACATCACAGCTGAGAACAGTAGCTGGAAGGAGGATTCTGGCAGCAATAATCTCTCTGGATCAAAGAGAGATCATGAGATAATCCATATGCACTCTGGGTATCAACTTCCCTGAAAATTCCCTGAATATTTTTGTAGTTGAGTCGAGAATTGAGTTGCAGGGAGGCCAGGATTCCATCTACACGCACAACTGTGGCAAAGCCCTCATGGACATTAAGTTCTGCCTTCCTCATTTCTTAATCACTTTGGAAAGTTATTTGTTTGTTTGTTTGTTTGTTTAATTTATTTATTTCTATACCTCTCATCTCCCCTACAAGGTGACTCTTGTAGAAACAAGTGAAAAATGGGCAAAAGATTAAAATAAACCAACATTATATCATTAAAAACTGCAAAAACTAATTGATCTATAAACAGAAATGTTTCTTCTGTGACAAAGATAAGATTTCTTGTGTGCTGAATCAAACCTTCTTTTGGAATTATAAAAAAAAGAGAGACTTTAAGGATTGAAAGATCTAAGAATTTTCAGCAAAAAGCTTAACAAAGAGAAGATTTAATAAAGCTTTAAAGAAGATAAAGGGTCAGTCCAGGTGAAAAACATGGTGTGCGTTGAGGCTTCATTAGACTGAAACTCTTAAAGCCACAGAAGATTAAAAAAGAAGGAGGCTTGCTTTTTCCTTTTGCTTGTTTGAGATACTTTCACTTTTGGATTACAATATACAATGGCATCTATGAGAAAAATAGCAAGAGAAGGTAGAATAGGGTCATTTAGAGCAATTGGCAGAAAAAGTTACATTAGTTTTGCTTCAGAAATTATTTGAACAAATGGGAAATAAATGGGAGGCTTTAGAAAAAGAATGGATGAAAGCTTTATATAGTCGAGAGAAGAGATGAAAGAAGATATTTAAAAGATGGAATGTTCTATAAAGCAAGTATTAGCAGAGGTAAAAGAAATGATGAAGTGGAAACTTTATACAGTAACTTACGGATGGAGAAATGGAAACAGAATTAGATAATCTGGTTTTATTGAAAGTGAAAAAGAAAGAATTTTATTTGAAATGCTGAGATGTTTCAGAGGTTTTAAATGAAGATATTAGAGAACAGTTTATTAAAATATTGGGCAATTTTCTGGATTGGGAAAAAGGAGATATGGAGATTTTTAAAAGTCTATACGTAAAGTCTATAGAATAAATCCTAGATTTGCCAGAAAAAGAAATGTCCCAAGGGATAATTTAGTTAATTTGGTTAGAAAGAAGAAAAGGTATCAGATCCTGCAGCAGCATTTTAATCTTCTTTTTGTGCCATATCCGTCATCGGACATTGGCGATCATGTTGGCGATCCTATTTTTATCAACAGCCGCATGAAAAAGTGTTGTTGAATTTTGTCCAAACCAGTCCCTTAGATCTTGAAGCCATGATGTGCTTCTTCTACCTGAACCTCATTTGCCTTGAATAGCATTTTAATAAAATATTGAAAATGGATAATACAGATGAAATTATTTTGAAAGAGATTCCTATTAGAATTCTATGTAAGAAAGAAGAATATTTTTCTAGGCTGATAAATAAAAATAAATAAAAATTGCATTTTGATTTGAAATGGGAATTGGTAGATGTGTTTTGGTTTTGTTTTTTGTTTTATTTTTGCACGATATAGATTCAGACTGAATTCTGTTCAGAAGGTGAGGGAATTTCTAAGAAAGATTTAAAGGAAAATTGGAGGAGATACAAATGGAACTCTCAGAGGATACTACAGAAACATCACAACAGATGCAACAGGAAAAAGCTGATCCTGAATTAACTGCTACAGATATTGACTTATCTAAATTTTTGGCCTTAATACGAATTACAAATGTTTAACATGGAATATAAATGGAGCAAATGTTCCTCAAAGGAGAAAATAAATGTCTTTATTTGAAAAAATTAGAACAAGATATTATTTGCCTACAAGAAACTCATATCAGAAGAAAAAGATACAAAATATTTGACTTACAAAGCTTTAGGTGAAGAATTTATTTTGATAGGTACAAAAAAGAGAAAATGGAGTTGTTTTGTATATTAATCCTCAACTTTGACTGATGAACATCTACACCTACATTTGTTGGGATAGAAATTAATCTTCATGGAATTAGCACTATAGTGTTGGTAATCTAGCTCCCAAATGAGGATAAAGTGATGTTTTACAAAGAACTAATGGAGAGATCAAAAGACTCTTCTTATGAAAGTTGGATATATTTAAATTTATATGGCAGAGGGGGAAAAAAACCACAAGTTAAATATAAAGTAGTACAAGAAGTAAAGGAAAGAGGAGTATTGGGTCTATCTGATTCAAAACAATGCTCTGCTCTCTGTTGCTTAGCTTGGATGAAAGAGTGGATGTTGCTGAGAAACAGAAGGCTGAACAGAATCAGAGGGACAAGATTTCAGATTTGAGTGGCAGGGATATTTATAGAACAGTGAAGCTGAGGTTAAACTTTAAAAATCATTATGTGATGTGCTATTTTGAGAATATGGAATAAATACAAATCTAGGTTGTGTCCATAAACCTTTGTGGCTCTGGTTCTATATATTCTAGTCTTAAGGAATTATTTTTAATAAAATGATGTCCTGTTGGTACATGACAGCTGATAAACTATATAGAATGTATAAAAGTAATTTGAATTTATGCTGGAAGGATGCCATTCCAATGAAATCCTTCCATTCCCCACCATCCTGTCAGAGTTGGAAGAAGCTTCTTGGATGAGAAGAAAAACAAGAAACTCCAGTTGCCTCTTGAAAAAGCAACTTTGGGAGAAAAAAGACACGTAGAGTCAGAGATAATTATGTAATTATACTTGCATTTCCTGCAAAAGAAATTTAAATTTTTATTTTTGCACCTTTGTCAATTCATTTCTTTCTCTTTTTTCCTTTCCTTTATTTTATTCTGTATTAGTTTTTGTTAGTTTTTAATTTTCTTTTGAAAACTTTTAATAACATTTATACAAAAAAGTTTTTTGTAGACTCTCTGGAAATTTGTTTACAGAAAAACAGCTTTTCATGTGATCTAGGAAATAAGGCAAATAGCTGGAGCAAATTGCCGATTTGGAATACATTCACTTAGAACTTCTGCAGAATACTTTCTGTTAGAAATAACTTTGGGAGAAAGGATAAGAAGTTGTAAAGTGTGTAACTGTAAGAGATTATTAGTAAGTGTAAAATATTATTAACAAGCAGGTATTATTTTCTTTCCCCCCTGTATTAATGGTGAGAGTTTATCTCCATTTGCAACTCATATAAATTCCCTCCTGGGTTCAGCTTATGCCTTCCATTTGCTTTCTTTCCAGGTATTGTTGAAATTATGGATTTTGACATTTCCAATTTCTCATAAGCAGCATTAGGCTGCCCATGTCAGAACACCTGTATTTTTCATAATTCTCCTAGGTCTTTATACTATGCTTATTTATTTGTTTGTTTAAATCCACCATTTTACCCAATGTGGATAATCCATATTGGATAATACGACATCAATACTGGAACAATGTAATGGAATTATTTTTTTTTGTACTTGATAACTAGCAAGAATATTGTATGCCCAAGGATGGAAATATGTGGCACTATCTGCAATGGAGGAGTGGTTGGTAAAAATAATAGAACTTGCAGATATGGCTACATTGGCTTTTTAATAAGAAAAATATACAATATCTATGTTTATTGCTAACTAGAAACTCTTACGGACTTCTTGTACAAAACAAAACAAAATAAACTCATGATTTATGCAGTGGTGGGATTCAAATAATTTAACAACCAGTTCTCTGCCCTAATGATTTCTTCCAACAACCAGTTTACCAAACTGCCAGAAAGTTAACAACCGGTTCTCCCGAAGTGGTGCGAAGTGGCTGAATCCCACCACTGGATTTATGGTTTTGACGGTTAGGCAGGATAGACAATAGAAAGAAGAGAATTATGTTGTAACCATAGAGTAAGAGTTGACTTGATAGTTGAATTTACAAACTGCTGTAAAGAAGATTGGAGCTACTGATTTGTATTTTTGTCTTTTTTTTCTATTTTTTCGTTTCTTTACTTTACTTTACTTTACTTTACTTTACTTTACTTTACTTTACTTTACTTTACTTTACTTTACTTTACTTTACTTTACTTTACTTTACTTTACTTTACTTTACTTTACTTTACTTTACTTTACTTTACTTTTATTTGATTTGTATACCGCCCTACTCCCGAAGGACTCAGGGCGGTGAACAGCCAACAATAAAATACATACATACAAAATTTAAAAAACAGAAATAAAATTGAATTAAATAGTTTGGCTCAGACAGATTAAAACCCCAATCAATTTAAAACAGATTTAAACTTTGAAAATTTTAAAATATTAAAAATATTAAAATATTAAAATTGTTTAAAAAGAGGGAGAAAGTTAGGCCAGGCCCGCCTGGTGAAATAAAAAGGTCTTTAGAGTGCGGCGGAAGGTGCGCAGATCCAGGATCCTCCGATTCTCCAGGAGGAGCTTGTTCCAGACAGCTCTTTCTTGCACTTTTACCTTTCTCCGTGTTTTCTTGCTTTTTCTTTCCTTTTTCCCACTTTACATTAATTTGTATTGATTTTTATCCCTTTTTTTTAAAAAAAAACTTCAATAAAATTATATTTAAAAAAGACACAATAGAAAGAGCAAAATCATAGCAACTCAGTCAAACCATAACTAATGTACATGCATAAACACTGAGATGTCTTTAAAGCCATTCAAAAGGCCCGGCTGAAGAAGTTCTGTATGCATGTTTTGAACTAATTTGACCATGAAAAACCTTGACTCTGAAACCTTCAGGTTTTATCCCTTTTGCTTGTGGGGATGATGGGGTGAGAGAATAGAATTCAGAGTCTGTTGCATGAACTCCCCTTAGAAAAATCCTTCACTTGCCAGAGGCTGTCTTTTGCTTTCACGCTTATAATGCACTTAAAGTGTAAAGTTCTGTCCAGATGCACAACGAAGGAAGTCTTTCTGTTTTGCTCTTTTTTCCCCCTTATTCTTTTGCACTTGAAAGACACTTGCACGCTCAAGAACATCCTTCTTCGTGCTGGCAGAAACACATGCTTTTCCTTTGCAGAGGCTTTATGCCTTAACAGATGCCTGGCATATAAATGTTCAACAAATATGTTTTTCTCATTCCCTCATCTCCATGTTAGGGAAAGCTCACTGAGTTTTTGTCAGGGAAACGTTGACTGTACATAATGGTTGGCATTTTTATTTCTGTTCCTCATTACCGATTTGTTTCCACTCAGTTGTGCTCTTGTGTATTCACTGTTCTGTTTTGGAAGTGTATGCCTGAGCAACTGGGAACGTGTTTTGGGACTATATAGTCTCTCCCCTTGCATTCTTCCATCTTCAACAAATGAATCATATTAACTACCATACCTCTTTCCATTCAGAATTACAAAACTAAAGTGGCTATTATAATTAGGATTAAAAATCGTAAATCAGAGAAACCCGATGGCATAGTTAAACCCAATATTCTGGTGATATAACAGCCACATAATTATTTTGGATTCTTGTAGCAGCAGGGGAGGCTGTGTCCATAGATCTCTGGGTCTACATATTCTACCTCTGCCTTCCTGTAGTGATTTAGAAGTTCTTATCACCACTACCTTATTTGGCATCTTCCCTCTCCCTACCCTGGCATGTAAGAGAGAAGACTCCCAGAGCCTATGGATTTTACTAGCAAATAAACAGAAGAAAATGATTACATCTGAGATGATGTAATCATCTCAGATGGCCAAATCTATTTAATTATTTTAAATCTATTTTTAACTGTAACTTTATGTATAAATGTTTTTATTTTGGCTGTTCACCGCCCTGAGTCCGAAAGGAGGAGGGCGGTATAGAAGTTTGAATAATAAATAAATAATAAATAAATAAATGAATGAATGCTGATTGAACTCAGATGCATCTGGCTTTCACTGCATGGGGGAGGGAGGAATGTGTGTGAGGACGGGCAAGTAACTTGCTTGCTCATTGCTGTAGTTCTCTTTCAAAGTTCTGGGTGGTTTAAGGAACTGTGAACTAGGAGTCATTTTAAGAATCAACCTTGTAATTTAGAGCAACCAGTTCTTGGTTGCATAATGTTTCCTGCTGGTCAAATCTTGTAGTCTTCCATAATCAGAGTTCCCAATGTAATGTTCTTTCAGGGTTAGGTAGGATCATGATCATTATTAGCTAGCATGGCACTTGTCTAAAATCTAGGATACATTTGTTGGACAATAGCCAAGTTTGGGGAAGATTATACATGGGTTCATGAAGCAATATCGTTCTTTGCAGGGGTTGTTCAACAAATGATAATTAATGAAGTCGTGACTTAAAATAATGTATGAACTTGGCCATTGTATATAAAATGCCATCCAAGAATAAAGATGTGAGCAATAGACAGCAGGACCCTGGAAACTCCATTTGGTTAACCAGCTGTACTAGAATTCCTGTGAGCTGCATTCAGTGCTGAAGAGCTATTTAGACCTACCTGCAATTATATCTTTGTCTCAGCCATCAAGGAGTCTGGTCCCAGATGCAGAATGATTCTAATCTCTTCAAAACACAGACAGCTTGAGCTGTTCTTATTGATCAGTAGCAAACTTAGAAAGAGGCCCTGCAATATAATATGATTAGTGTCCAAGCAAAGCAGTCAAAGCCATTACAAATTCAGCAGTGACACCATTTTCAGGACATCCTGACTTACAAATGGCTGTTCCTCATCTCAGTGGAACTAGATAGTTTCTCTTTGTACTTCCCAGAGAAGTTTTATCTGTAATTGATTCTTGGCCAGATTCCATAGTGCAATTGTTTAGGATTTGATGCTGTCGTTTTTTTCCCCCCAGATTGACGGCTGGAGTTTCAAATGAGCAGACTTGGTGCCAGCAGCCAAATTGTGTAGTGTTTCCAAGTG